TTTGTTACATTTTTATCACCAAGAAAAAATATCGGTGAATTCATTTACTATTATAGTTAGTTTTGAAATTGATAGCTCGTCCTAAAATATGCGTAAAGATATGATTAATTATTTGAAAGAGACGTGTTTTATTATTGATTCTCATCACTTTTTTTTCTTTTTGGCGTGTGTTACTCGGCTTGTGTCATCGTCCACGTAGTCTTCTTGAGTTCTTGTACACCAAAAAAGGTACTTGGTGCAAATAGAGAATACAAATATTTTAGAGTTAATTAGTTCAATAACCATACTAGATAGATAAATTATGTTTAACCTTTGGTTCGATTCTCCATGAGGAGTTTACTTTTTCTCGTCAATAAGGTTAGTGATGATGTTATTAATAAAACGAATTTGGAAAGATTTTTGGTAAAAGTATTCTCTACTCTTGTTTTCCAAAGGATACATAAAAAATCTCAACAAGTTCAAACAACACTAAAAGATAAAAAAGAGTGGTCACTAGAAGACTCGAGCATGAATGGCTCCAATCTATTTCTGACTGAGAATCTATAATTGAATAAAAATAAAAATAAATTAATAAAGAAGTTTGGGCCGACAACTCTTCCGAAGATGAACGGTCAAGATTAGCCAATCACTCAACACGCGTAAGATAAGCTTCGTGGTCACCGTAACATCAGATCATGCGATTTTTGCTTCTCTTTTTTGGCTTTTTCTAAAACAAAAAAAAACAAAAAGCTGAAGCAAAATTCGGGTGTTTCTCGCACACCGTATCATCACGCTCGTTTACTTTCTTCACCGGCGAAATCACGCTCGCTCTTAAACGGCGATCTAATTTCCGGCGATAAATAGAGAGGTACGAATCTCCAATTTTGCTCGCTTTCATAGTTTCAACACTCTTTACTAGGCAATTAGGTTTCAATTTCTCTTTGGGTCGCTTCAATATCGGATTTTTTTGTCTGCTATGAATTCGTTTTAGAATTTCTGGGGAAGTTAGAGCAACTCGAACTCGAACTTTCTCTTGCCGACGCAATTGAAGGAGCAAGGCCATGGTACGCCTCCGAATTTTGCATTAGGGTTTATGTTTTGTGAGCTAAACTTTATATGTTCACTTTGTGATTTGATCGAAATTGTATCGTTTTGCAGTCATATGAAAGTAAAAATTTCTGGGTTCTGAAGAACAATGAGCATACAAGTGAGGAAGATTCAGTTTACGATCATTCAACAAGAGACGATGCAAAGCGTCCTCATCCTTGGTTTATGGACTCTTCTCGATCAGAGATGTTCCCAAACAAGAAGCAAGCTGTGCAAGATCCAGTAGGGTTAGGGAAATCAAATGTAGGTCTTCCTTTGTGGGAAAACTCATCGGTTTTTCAATCGGTCTCGAACCAGTTCATGGATCGGCTTCTAGGGACCGAAATGCCAAGACCCCTTTTGTTTGGTGATAGAGATAGAACGGAAGTTGGTAGCCATCACCAACCTAAGAGCATAGGAGAGAGTTATATGGAAGATACATCTGTTGAATTGTCGATATCTAATGGCGTTGAGGTTGCTGGAAGTTGTTTTGGTGGTGGTGATGGAATTAGGAAACTTCCAGTTAGTCGGATTAAGGAAACAATGAGTACACATGTTGCTTTAGACGGTCATAGTCAAAGGAAAATCGAGTCATCTTCTATCCGAGCTTGTAGTCGGGATAATGAGAGTAGTAGTTTTGTTAATTTCGCACTGGCGGGTCATCCTTATGGCAATGAAGACTCTCATGGGATCACATTTGGTGAAATTAACGATGAACACGGTGTTGGCTCTAGTTCCAATGTGGTTGGAAACTATCAATCTTATGTTCAGGATCCAATTCGAACATCTGATATGGTTTTTGGTCAAGAAACCGCACAGACCAGCAGCGGAGTTGTTAGTGAACAACAAGTGGCTAAACCGAGTTTGGAGACTCTTCCAAAGAACAAAGCAGAGACCAAGGCATCAAAGAAGGAAGCTTCCACAAGCTTTCCTTCAAACGTCAGAAGCTTAATATCAACTGGTATGCTCGATGGCGTGCCTGTGAAGTATGTTTCTCTCTCACGTGAGGTAACAAGCTAAATGTCTCAGCTCACTAGCTCAGCTTATATTAAGCTTACCATTTTCATAAAGTCTTCTAATTCGTAATTGCATCGTAATGTTCTAAAATCAGGAGCTTCGAGGAGTAATCAAAGGATCGGGTTATCTCTGCGGATGTCAAGCTTGCGACTTCACAAAGGTGAGTCAACATAAAAGTTACTTTTTTGCGGAACTCTCACTGATTAATAATTTGCTGCGACTCTAATCATTGAAGGTCCTTAACGCGTATGCATTTGAGAGGCATGCCGGATGTAAAACAAAGCATCCGAACAATCATATTTACTTTGAAAACGGGAAGACGATTTATCAGATAGTTCAGGAACTTAGAAATACTCCAGAAACTATGCTGTTTGATGTGATTCAGACTGTATTTGGTTCTCCTATCAACCAGAAAGCATTTCGCATATGGAAAGGTTCAATG